GAAGTTGGTTGATACTCGATACTACACTCATTGAAATTGAACTTTCGGGATATTTCGGTCGTAATTTAGATGCTTGTGCTGAAACAATGTCTGAGAGAAAGATCAGTGATATTGAGGCTCCTAAAACCCGATTACTTCTTTTAGGACAGGTTGAGACAACTAAAACTTCAAGAGGGTACTTACCTATAAACTCCATGCAAGCTTAAACCTAAGGCCCTGCGTGTCTTGTTTGTGTTTAATTAAATTGTTCGAACATGACATCATAACATCATGACATCATACCATACCATTTTCACTAACCATTTCAAGAACCTATGGATTTATCTTTGTTCTGTTTTGTAGGTTATGGCCTCCACTCGCAGAAACACTATTCAAATCAGTTTTGTAAGGGTACCTTCTCAACTTAAAGAGTTAGTCTCAAGAGTTCCTGAAAGCTCTCCATTCATCAAAAGGCATTGTCGACTACTCATTTTGGTTACCTTGGGTTTTGAAGAAGACTTGATGAGTGTTCTATTCCAGTTATTTGACCCTGTATATCACTGTTTCAATTTTCCCGATTATCAGTTGGTACCCACAATGGAGGAGTTTTCTTAATTAATGAGAGTATTTGTTCTTAATCAAATACCTTTCACCGGTTTAGAGGAAGATCCACAACCTGAATAAATTGTAACAACCTTACATCTAAAGTGGTCCGACATTGTAGCTAATTGGGAAACAAGGAGTGGAGTCAAGGGTTTTCTAGCTAAATTTCTGTTGGAGAAGGCTCGACTGTTTTTGGACGCTATGAGTTTTCAAGCTTTCGAAGAAATCTTGGCTTTATTAATCTATGGGCTGGGGCTATTCCCTAATCCAGACCAACTCATAGATGTAAACACCATCAAAAAATTTCTTGCTCATAACCCTGTGCCTACTTTGCTCTAAGATATTTTGCATTCACTTCACACTCGTACTATAAGGAAGCGAGGGACTCTTATGTATTACATACCTTTGCTGTCTAGGTGGTTTATTTTGCACTTTCCTCGATCAATATTGAAGAATGAACGAGGTTTGAGGTGGTCTCAAAGGATGATGTCGCTCTCTCATTTGGATATCTATTGGTGTTCCAGGTCTCTGGAAGATGTTGCTATCATTGACCGTTGCAGGGAATTCTCTAATGTCCCAATCCTTGGCATTAGGGGAGGTATTACTTACAACCCTTTTCTAGCTCTACGACAATTTGGTTATGCCCGAAGAGATGGTCCCCGTGACATACTTATCTAGGGTATCATTTTCGACTACGAGAATGATTTTTAAGGTTATCATTATAGGTTTATACGAGCTTGGGGCATGGTAAACAAGATTGATAGCAATACTTTAGGACATAAGAATTATATCCCTTTGGAGCCATATCTCAAGTGGGTACGATCTCGTGCTCAAAACCTTATGATGCCATATCCCGCCGTCTTACTGGTAACTATGGACCCTGTTGCTGAGGGGGATATTCCTTATACCATTCTCCATCCAAACATACCCACTGACCTCGAAGAATTACAGAAGTCATGGATTCTACTCAAGAAAGAACGTGACACCTTTGAAGCTCAATTCTATGCAAGCAAGAAGAAAGTGTTGGAGCTTACAAAGCAACTTCATGAGGAGCAAAGCCTTAATGTATACATCGACATGAAAAGGAAGCATATGTGGGAGACTTAAGTCTTAGGTTTTAGGAGTTCATTTTGTTTTATCTTTGAGACCTTTTTGATTTTTCATTGTAAGCCCAAGAGGCAATTGTAATTTTGGACTTATTAATGAAATCTTTGTTTTTGTTTCCTTTTGGCTTGAAAACATTGCATCCATATATCATGAATCGTCTCATAAGCAGGTTTTCCAATACTGGTTTCCTCATCTATTTACTGTTTATTTCAGTATAAGATGACTCTCAAACAAACTGTCAAGGATCTCCAAACTCAGCATGCACAATTTCAAGATACTCTTCTGAATCTGGCCAAAGGGAAACAAGAGATGATGGCACTCCTCACCATGAAAAAGAAGACTAAGAAGCGGATTGTTATCCTCAACATAGGAAGAAGATTCAAAGGTCCTGCTTAACCAGTTCAAGATGTTTCCTCTGGAAGACGACAACCAAGAGGAGGATGATAGAAGTGTCAAGGATGAAGGTAAAAACAATCAAGGTTCCGAGGATGAAGACTACTCCGACGAACAGTACCCTCATGCAGATGACAAGTACAAACAATTGGAAGACCGACTCAAAGCTGTGGAAATCCGGAAAGTGCCTGGATTAGATTTTGTAGAACTAGGTTTAATCCCAGGGGTGGTCATCCCTCACAAATTCAAGGTCCCTGTATTTGCTAAATACGACGAGGTCTCTTGTCCTAAACTCCATTTAAGGTCGTATGTTCAAAAAATCCAACCTCATACTGTTGATAGGAAATTATGGGTCCATTTCTTTCAAGAAAGTTTGTCCGGTACTTAACTTGAGTGGTTCTACCAACTGGAAGGAACCAACATTCACACATGGAAAGACTTGGTTGCTGCTTTCTACAAGCAGTATCAATATAATGCCGACCTTGCATCAACTCGTGTACAATTAAAAAACATGTCCATGGGCTCAAATGAAGGGTTCAAGGAGTATGCATAAAAGTGGAGAGACTTAGCTGGAAGTGTGCAACCTCCTTTTACTGGTCGGGAATTGGTGGATATGTTCATGGGCACTCTGACGGGTCCATTCTTTAATTTTCTAATTGGGAGTTCTTCATCAGGGTTTACTGAGTTGATTTTGACTGGAGAACAAGTTAAAATTGGTATTAAGAGCATAAAGATTCCAATGGCTACATCTTCTAATGCTGTGAAGAATCCCTTCACTGGTAAAAAAGAAACTAATATTGTCTATGGCCAGAAAAGTCGTAGTAAGAATGATCACCATCAGCCTGTGGGTACGGTATTAATCTCTAATCCAACACTTGTTCAACAACAACAACAACAACAAGGCAACCAATGTAGTTCAGACGCTCCGAGGAGGCAATTCACCAAAATTAATACGCCATTGGCTTAATTATTGCAACATTTGTTAAATGCTGACCTCATAACACTCAGAGATCCTACTTCTAATCCCAACACATCCTCTCCGAAGTATAATCCAAATGAAAAATGTGCCTATCATTCGAACAATCCCGGGCACGACACCAACAATGGTTGGGCCCTGAAAAACAAAATCCAAGACATGATTGATAACAAGGAAATTGAGTTCGACCCTCCTGAGACTCCAAACGTGATTATTGCTCCTATACCGAAGCATGACAAAGGCATAAGTGCTATTGAAGATGTTTTGTATGTTACCTCCGTAAATGATATGGTTACTCCTCTCTCAACAATCAAGAAGAATTTACTATAAGCCGACTTATTTCCGGGTTGTGTTAAAGAATGTTATTGTTGTGCGGTTCAACCCAATGACTGCGGGTTACTGAAGGAAGGCATTCAACTCCTGATGCATGAACATGTTATTCTGATTGAAAAAGTCCAGTCTACTGAAAATTTATGCCGATATTTGTCTGTCATATCTGATACTCCTTTCATGATCACCTCCAAGGGTCCTGTAAGGATTACTTCCAATCCAAAACCAGCTCCCTTAATCATTACAAAACTTGGGCCCATCCCATATTCCTCATAATTCAATGGAACTATGGGTATGACGTATATTACCATGGTATTAAACAAGAGTTGTCTAACGAAGATGATGAAGATGTTGATCCCAGTATTGTCAATATTACAGGGACCAATAAAATAACAAGAAGCATAAGGATCATCTCCCTATAAATCTCTCTACCTGTTCAAGTCACAATTACCAAGACGACTGCCGAAGCTCGAGGTAAAGAGCCAAATATAGAGCCTTCCCAAATAGAGACACCAAAAGAAGCTACAATCAAGGATACCTCTAGATAAGAAATGGAAGAGGTTTTGAAGATCATTCATAGAAGCAATTACAAAATTTTTGAACAGCTGGGGAAAAACCCATCCAAGACCTCTATGTTATCCCTGCTACTGTGTTCCGAAGCTCAGGCACAAGCTTTAATGAAATTTTTGAAGACTGCTCATATACCACAAGAGATTTCTACCGATCAATTTGGAAGTTATGTTGCTAGCCTAACGACTTAACAATGGATTATGTTTCACTAATTGAAAGTTATCATAGTTTAAATTTTGTTCTAATTATAGGACACGAGCATCCAAAAACCATACTCAAAAGAAGATATTGATGACATCCGATCACGTTGGGCCAATGTCTTCTTATCTCATTATGAAGCTCGACAACCACAACAATAGTTTTCCTTGGTTGTTATAATCTTATTTTGTATATGAACAGAGGTTTTGTCATTTTGATGCGCATATATGATCATGTCAAACGAGTGTACTCTCACTTGATGATAACAATATAAATTTGCACATTTGGTTTAAAATGATATGATATATTCCAATTCTGTTACATATTTTGTAGTTTTTGTGTAAAAAATGATACTGGCAGGTTAATAGATTTATTATAATGATACGATACAAGCCGGTGAAAATGATACATGCAAAAAATGATACAGGCTAGTGAAATTGATAAATATAGCCAAAAAACTTCATTTTAAACCCCTATCAATTATTACATAAAACCGAGGTAAATGAATACCTTATTACCTCATATTATAAATAAAATTGACAGTTATATGACGCGCGCAACAAAATGTAGAAAATAAAAATATGGAGTTCCAATGGATCGAATCCATGACCTTTTCAATTATAACCTCGGTGTTTAAAATAACGAGGTGTTAATTTGAGACTTTTCATGTCGATCTTATTTAGTTCGCCTGGATAGTCGATGTAAAACGCATTTTGCATCCGATGTTACAAGCGTTATTTGTAGTAGTGAAATATGTTTTAAGTGTATATTGACAGTTTGAAAATTTTTAAGGACATATATTTTTCAGTCACACCTCTGACTGATACTTTTCATGAGAGTATTTATGAGATTCAACTTGGTGTTTCCTCAAGGTGTACCGACAAGTTCTCTAAGTTATAGTGCCAAAACTATTTTATAGTCGGAACAATAATGTACATATTTACACCGAATAATCTATCTTAAGAGGATTTGAAGAATAAGATGACGACACCTAAATGATTATTAAATAAAAACAAAATCAATAATATAAATAATTAAATAATTAGTTTATAAATAAATGATTTATAGACTAATTATAAAATTGGAAAAATATAAAAATTCCGCGGGAGTAGCAAATTGATAGAGCTCTCACTCGCTATTCTTTTGTTCCCACCGCCAACAAACCCTTTTTCGTATAGTTTCTCAAAATCAAAAGCATTCCTTTTTGTGGTGAAAGTTTCATCTAAAGAAGAAGCTTCAAGGAATCAGGTTTACGCTCTTGTTTTTATTCTTCTTCATCATCATCTTCAACTTACTTATTTGAATTGAAGACTTAGGGTTTGTTTGTTTGGATTGTGTTATTTAAGCTTATCTATTTGAATTTGAGATATGACTGAAACAAAATGTTCAACATCTGCAGTGCTGTGCTGTTTTTGGGACCGAAATTCGGCCAACTGCGGAATGTGGAAGAACAATGTACATAATTCGCCAAAGAATAGACCTGTTACTCATGAGAATGCAGAAAAAACATGGTTAGTTTATTTTGTCTGGTGTAGTCAGTAACAAACTCAGGGAATATTGAACCAAGAGTTTTCCTTATTACGGTTTTTAACACTTTTCCTTCAACAACATATTTTCAATGATTAGTGTTATAACATGTCAATAGTTGCGGGGGAGTGACTAGTACAAAGTAAGCCTTTACAACCACATCTTTTCAATCATCAGTTTTATAACATGTTCCAGCCTAATAGCATATATACTATACAAATTTATATCCATTAAGTCCCACATTGGCTAGAACATCACACAAACATGTGTTTATAAATGTTTGACATGCTAGTTAGTTTGCCGAGCTGAGTAGCGCCGGCTTGTGACCCATGTGGGGGCATCAAGGTGTTGGAACATGGCTAAGGCTTAACAGGTTTGTCTGGTTGTTGCACCATGCTGGCCTGCCCGCTCCAAGTTGCGAGTTGACCCACGGGACTTGTGCGAAGGCACGGGTCTTGTGAGTCTTAGACAGGAGGGTATTGCGTGAGGCTGGTTTCACAGAGCAGCGATCACTTCCTACTCCTGACAGTGGGGGGATCACGGGCCGTTGCACCTCCGGCCCACAACACCTGGTGAGCCTAGCCCATGAACCATCTCTTTTTTTGGTTCATATATTAATGAATGCTGTTTATGTTTAAACACAGAATTAGCCATCTCTTTTTTTGGTTCATATTAATGAATGTTGTTATGCAACTTTCATTGGATCCTTCCGAAGTAGGCGAAGGCACGGGTCTTGTGAGTCTTAGACAGGAGGGTATTGCGTGAGGCTGGTTTCACAGAGCAGCGATCACTTCCTACTCCTGACAGTGGGGGGATCACGGGCCGTTGCACCTCCGGCCCACAACACCTGGTGAGCCTAGCCCATGAACCATCTCTTTTTTTGGTTCATATATTAATGAATGCTGTTATGTTTAAACACAGAATTAGCCATCTCTTTTTTTGGTTCATATTAATGAATGCTGTTATGCAACTTTCATTGGATCCTTCCGAAGTAGGCGAAGGTCGAGGTGCTGACCTGAACGCTTTGGCTCTTTTTGGTAAGTCTTCTCGGAGTAAGAACCTTTCTTTTTGAGCCGGCGCGGAGACCTATGGTCTCCATTCCGCCTTATCTTTGCTCTCTGTCGGTGTGAAGTTGCTAGCATAATATGGTAAGCAGCGGGCTTTCTATCCTCAGAGGTTCCGGTCACGCTAGTCTAGAACACCTTCCGACCGTTTAACACAGAATTAGCCATCTCTTTTTTTGGTTCATATTAATGCTGTTATGTTTAACACAGAATTAGAACTGATAACCTGGTGAGCCTAGCCCCTGAACCATCTCTTTTTTTGGTTCATATTAATGCTGTTATGTTTAACACAGAATTAGAACTGATCCTGACCTTGCAAATGCATGGGCATCCCCAGAATTCGACCCGTTATTGAAAAGATTCCATGAATCATTTATCAATTCCATCAAATCAATTTTTGGAATATTTATTAAGAAATAACCCCTTTGCGTCGACACAAGAAAACAACCGGTTTAACTCTAAGGAATTGATTGAGCAATATGATTCCATCACATTTGATTTCGCCGTGTATATTTTGTAGTTAATTATAGGTCTCAATTTTTTTGTTGCCACCTTTGCAGTATCTTGTTTTATGTACTAGTATGATACATAAGAAACTTTATGATCAATAAAATTGTCCATTTCTATTAATACTATTAATGCCACCAATCACAGCTCAATAGTTTTTGCTTACCTCTATTTTATTATATGTTGTTTCTTTGGTTCACTCTGACCCCAAGACATGAATGGGAGACTTGAAATTCAAGCCTCTTTTATATGGTCCGTCCAATTTGCCTCCTGTAGTTTGAATAAAAATATATGTGCATGGTAATGTTACTTGGACATGGTTTGAGCATGTTATATTGTTTTCCTTGTATTATTTTTTGTTTATGTAATGCCACGGGGACTGTAATTTCCCATTCTCTCTTTGAGCTTTTAAGATTATGGAGTTTGATGTTGCATTAATATTTTTGAGAAGAATAACCTTTGAACACATATGACTTTAGTACTTTGAGATTAGTGATATAATATCATGCTCAAATAATGCATTATAAGCTTTTCAAATAATCCATTTAGCTAATTATAATAATGCATTAGAAGCCTTTCAAATGATCTATTTAGTTACTTATATGACTTTTCACCTATAGTCATGACTAATGGCTAATAATCACATTCATTATAGTGATGGTTAATCTCAACTTTTTTAATATGACTTTGATACACTTTGAGATCAGTGATATCGTTTCATGCTCACCAGGTTATCAGTTCTAATTAGAGGCCTAATTTAGTGAATATTGTATGACCAAGTTATTGTACATTACATGTGGTGTCATTTTATATATATGAACTTCAAAATTCTTTTTTAAAACGTAAAACAGTGTACTTTATGTTTGATCCATAATGTTTGAGACATGACTGAATCAAAATGTTTAACATCCAGTGTTGTTTTTGGTTGAAACAAAGGTTCATGTGTTGAGAAAATTCCAAAAAGTTCAATAAATTCTGATTTGAAGATTTGTGATAAAGATCATGGTCATAGAAGAGTTCTCTTTGGTTATAAATATGTAATGCTCTTGGTCATTATTGTTATCTTCATCACCGCGGTTTTGATGTGTAGAAGCTTCAGGATTCAAAGGGCAAACAAGTTACAAAAATGTCAAAAGGAAGCAAGTAAAAAAATGGAAACTAGCATCTTTTCACAAGTGGATATTGATGCTGATGAAATAAGTCATTTGGACGAAGATAATTTAATCGGCCATGGTGGTAACGGAAAGGTTTATCGAATCACGCTGAAGAAAAACAGGATGGTAGTGGTTGTGAAGCAATTAGAGAAAGGTGATGGTTGAGGATTTCAGCTGCTTGATGAAGATTATGTGACAAAAATTGTTGATTTTGGTGTTGCTGAAATATCTCAGACGGGTTTTAGCTTTTTTGCTGGTACACATGGTTATATTTCTCGAGGTATGAAATTGTAATATAGGTTAGGACTAAAGAATTAATGGCATTTCACTGTTATCCATTACTTTCCTGGATTTAATACTGAATTACATGTAATCATGCAAAAATACAAAAATACATGCAAAAATACAAAAATACATGCAAAAATGCAAAAAAACAAAAAACGTAAAGTTGTGCTGGATTAAGTAAATATTTTCCTTTATTACTCAATTGCTTATTAGAATAAGAAATTAAGGATTGGTGACTTGTTTCTTGTAACGACAAGATAGACATGACATTCTCATATGAAATTGTAATCTGCAACGCCTAGTTTGAGGCAAAAAAATGCTTTAATTTTGAAGCATCCAATTTGCTAGGAGTATATCTAGATTAGAATAAAAAAAATAATGGTATCTTCCTGATAACCCTAATGTCCATTACTTTCTTGTTTAAATGCCGAAGGAATGCTAAGTACGAGGAAGCATTAGAGTGATTTGACTCAGTTTTGGGAACAAAGCTATAGCCCGATGAAGCAGCAGTGGCAAGTTATAATGTTGCTTGTTGTTACTCTAAGCTAAACCAGGTAGGTATATATGTTTTTTCACACAAATTGTCATTGGTTTTGGATATTAACTTTTTGAGTGTCCAGTTATCCCTCTATATATGTAGATTAAATCCCTCAACCACATTTTTCAATGATTAGTGTTATGACATAGAATTATGATGTAGGCTCCACCAATGACAATATTGTGGATCTAGTAAGAAGGACATAGAATTTGAACTAGGTTTGGTGGGGTGTGCCAAGCTATTGCAACAGTGCAATGCAAAAGTGACACTCAAGAGACCCAATAGCAAGCTATTTTGGTGGTCTCTCCCCCTCAAGAAATAAATTTAATATCGTGTGGACCATTGGCCCACATATCAGATATTAAACTGATAAGAACAGATACTACACTTGATCTTAGCCAAAAGGCCGAGAAAGGTATGAATTTAAAGTCATGCTTGTTGTCTTTTTTATACCAGATATGTTTTTTCTTCTTTGATAACTCAGCGATGTGGGACTTTAATACTATACCTTGGAGTTTGCTCAATACTTTTGTAATTTTCTTTTATGTAACAGTAATTAAACCAAGAGGAAGACTGTCTGGTTCATATACATTTTCTGCAGCAACAGAATTAAATAGGTAACAATTCTTGTCGACTTTTTTGGTTTTATTAATAATTTTGAAATATAACATTTGTTAGAGCAAGACTGAATCTAGAGTTTCCTGAAATGCCTCAAAACTAAAGCAGTAAAATCCCGGCAAAAGTTGAACTATTTCCCTAATTAAGTTCAATTTAACAAAAACCAAGTCCTAAGTCCTTAAATAAGTGGTGACTGAAAATTATTAGGATTTTTTCTCAAATCAATGCACATGGTTTAGTGAAGATAGTTTTGACATTTGTGCATATGATTATGTATAATGTTGTATATATACTCATACACCAGAAGTCATTCTTTTTATTAATGAATGAACATTTATCACAATCTCTGTTTTTTGTATACCTTCATCATTTTATGAGAACAATTGTCAAATACACACATATTGAATTAAACTCTATAATGGAGTTTGGGAATGAATATTGTACTTGAGCTAAGATCCTAATTTATTATATGTATGTCTGAAAACTAAATCACAATATTATGCTATCATATCATCACATAAAATATTATACCGACAAAACTTGAACATTTGAAGTACAATCAGTTTGGCATGCTTGTTACTAATCCTCTTACCATTATTTCCTTCATTTTTATCTTGCCCTTGGCATTTCATAATAGAAGTATATTCTTTAATAAACATGGCAGAGACAACATGTTTTTTTATGAAATGTTAATTTGCGTTTTGTATCTTGGAATGTTATTTTCCTATACTTTCAGTTAACTCCTACTTGATTGAACCCTTGCATGCCTACTATGGCTGCAATATCGGCTGCAATATTTTTGGATTAGTGTTATAACATGTTAAAACTAGTTTGGGAGTGCTCAGGACAAAGTAATCCATTTAAGAAACCATGTGCTAACTTAATACTACGCAAATTTATATCCATTAAATTCCGCATTGGCTAGAATATCACACATGGTTACCGAGTTGAGTAGCGCTAGCTTGTGAATTGAAGGTCTAGGGTTTGTTTGGATTGCGTTATTTAAGCGTATCTATTTGGATAAGACTGTTTAGAAGGGTTTATGGAAGCAACATATCACATGTCTATAAGTTGTTTAATGCTTGTTTTGACATGCTCTCCATGATATCTTATAAACTACTTTATTAATAATGGTGATTTACAAATTTATTAAGAGCTGCGAGGGTATTATGTGAGGCTGGTTTCACGGAGCAGCGGACACCTCCTACTCCTGAGAGTGGAGGGAACACAGGCTGTTGCACCTCCAGTCCACAATATTGAAATAAGGAGTATAGGATTGGTGACTTTTTTCTTGTAAAGATATGATAGAGATGTAAGACACAAAACATTTGCCATATGAAATTGTAATGTAGATTAGGACCAAAGAATTAATGGCATCTTCTTAAGGTTCATTACTTTCCTGGATTAAATGCTGATGGAATGCCAAGTACGAGGAAACATTAGAGAAATTTGATTCTGTTTTGGGAACAAAGCCAGAAGTTGAAGAAGCAGCATTCACATACTAAGTCCTGAATCACTATTGCCTCGAGTTTTCCGAGGGGAATTTCTACATGATTAGTGAAATGAGTATTTTTTTTGGGTTTAATTGGGTCTTTCATGTCTAGCCGTAGAACTCCTTAAAAATGTATGAATGTTTTTGCTTAAATTTCTATGATTTACAAACACCATGACCTATACCCCTTTTGGATCCTTTCTCATATGTTCTTTAATTTTTTATATATCAGTCAATCAAAATATTAGAGTAAGTGGTGTTTTTATATATCAAGACAGTTTGGCCGAGTGGTCTAAGGCGCCAGATTTAGGCTCTGGTCCGAAAGGGCGTGGGTTCAAATCCCACAGCTGTCATCATTTGTTTTTTAAAATTTTAAAACAACACAAAATCATTTATCTATACTTGGAAAATATTTACTTTAATTGATGGATTATTTATCAAGAAGAATACAATCAAAGTCATTTTTTACCAATTGTGGGTGAAATGATAATTTATGAATATACTTCATATATTCATTGAATGATAATTTATGGGATTAGAATGCCCATGTTGGCTTTTTATACAAGATCTTTGATGTATTTATATTGTGCAGTGTCAATAAGGTGGTTATGAAAAACTTGAATCTGTCCACTCAAGTGAAGATTTTGGGAGTTTTATTCAACTTGCAGACATCTGAGTGAAGTTGGCTTCAAGGGTATGATAGTTCCCCAATTTCTTGCACCTACCTGCATTCTACACAAGTAACTTGACATTTGTCTAGAATAAGGAAAAGAAAAGTAAAAAAGTATTATCGTTATTATTATAGTTTAATGAAATAAAATTAGAACTAGGATTGGTGGGGTTTGTCAGGCTATTGCAATAGTGCAGCGTAAAAGCAACACATAAGAGACTCAATTGCAAATTATTGTAGTTGACTCTCTCCCTCAAGAAAATAAGAACAAATACTACACTTGATCTTAGTCAAAAGGCCGAGAAAGGTATGAGTTGAAATTCATGCTTGTTGTGTTTTTTATATCTGACATATTTTATGCTTCTTTGCTAACTCGGCAATATGAGACTTTAATAGTTTAATATAGTAATTTGGAGTCTATTAGTGTTTGTGTTAGTTCAACACTTATGTATTAAATGAACCAAGAGGGATATTGTCTGGTTCGCATATATTTTATGTTCAAAGTGATTTATTCATATAGAGAAGTGACTCTCATTTTCCCCAACAACAAAATTAAATAGGTAACAACTCTTGTCTCTTTTTGTTAACCGATAATTTTGAAATATTTGTTAGAATTGAATCTAGAGTTTTCTGAAATGCTAAAAACTTACGCACAAAAATCCTTTGTCAAGTTATGGTTTCCTGAAATATAACATTTGTTAGAACAAGACAAAATATAGAAAAAGAAATTTGACAATGTTATGGTTTCCAAGTGGAGAGATTCTATGAAACAACTTGGTGGACTTGTTGGCTTTGTTTTCAATAACATGTTTTTCAATTTCGTAATCATCTATTTTTGCAATAATAGTTAAAGTATGAGTGTGGAAAAAGTATTTCATATATTTCAAACTTGTGATTTACAATAGAAGAATAAACTAGCATGAAATAAATTATAGTTAGTCACACAAAATCAATTTTCCCGAGTCACCACATGTCACTTGAACTATAGCTACTCACTCGAAATCAGATTTCCCGAGTCACCACATGTCAAAGAAGCATGTGAATTTAGTTAAAAATCATCGTTAAAATGACTTTAATAATATTTTTTAATGATTTATCCAGTGGTACGGCTTGTGCTCTCATGGATTGTTCTTTTGATTCTTCTATACTTTGTTTTACTTTTTGTTGTTTTCGTGGCTTAGTGATGAAGGCGTATATGAGAATTTGATAGTCTTTTGCTGAAAACGGTTTTGAAGGAGTTAAGTAATATTCTTATGATTGTGGCTGAGTTTCTAGGGGGACTCAATGAACGTGTTGAGAAGGTGATGGATCAATTACAATTTCAACCCTACAGTTACAATTTTTACACACAAATCTTTATTTCTTGAAATTCGTGATAATAATCCTTCGGGATATTCATACAAAGAGTTGTACTAGACTTTAAGGAAAGATTAATAAAGCCTG